AATGGAGGAGGGTTCCCCTTTCTCCACATCCTCTCTAGATGCATGCTTTTAGTAAGAACCAGCATTCTGGGCCAGTGAAATGGATCAGGCAGTAAAGGTGACTGCCACCAGGTCTGATGATCTGGGTTCATTCCTCAGGACTCACATGGTTGATGGAAGAAGAGAACTGGCTCACACAAATTATCTTCTGACCTCCAACATGAGTGCCATGCCATTCACATGTGCACACGAACACACACAAGCACACATTTGGACATTCCAAATAAGTGCAAAATATTTTAATATTTAAAAGTAATAATACAAATAATAGTAATAATTTTAAAAGAATTAACATTGGCAAAGATTTCCTGTAATTGTCAATTTGTGATTGAAACACCTTGTAAATTTTAGGGTGGCGGTACCTCTCTATTTATGATGACTAGCCAGGAAGATAGGTTTATATCTGCTCTTTTCATTTAAAACTAAAAGTGAAAAATAAAAAGAAAGAATGATGGTGTACACCTTTAATCCCAGCATCTGGTAGGCAGAGGTAAGTACATCTCTAGATTTGAGAGAGAGAGAAAAAAAAGAAAGAAAGAAAGAAAGAAAGAAAGAAAGAAAGAAAGAAAGAAAGAAAGAAAGAAAGAAAGAAAGAAAAGGTAAAAACAAAGTCACATACAACTTCCAAGTAGCAGGCATGCCTTCTTCATTTCTGCTCCCTAACCATGTCCTTCCAAGATGAACACTCAGCAGTTTTGTGTATAAATTCCAGAGATTTCTTACAGGAAAAAAAAAATTTTAAAAGCCACAAAACACACACCACTTGAGGAAATTCACCAAGACTCAGCTTGCAGAAAGTGATGAAGACAGGAGCTGATTTGCACTTTCCTTGTAGGCAAACATAGCATCAGCCACGTGGTACAAGTATGAAACTATTTTCCCCAAATGCCCTTGACCTTTTCCTTCTGGTAACTTTCCATGATTCTGAACAATACTAAAAACAATGCAAAAGATGCCAACTGCATGATGCATACCTACAAACCCAGCATACAGAGGAGAGGCGGAACTGAGAGTTGAAGCCCCACTTATGCAATGGCAATGAAACTAGTCTGAAATACACAAAGCAAGATTGTCTGGGATGGAATAGGATGGGGTGAAGAAAGAAAGAAAAAAATAAAGAAAGGGAGAAGAATGTATGCTGTTACAAGGCAAATGGAGGAGGAGGTGTAAAAAGAACCTCAAAGCCAGGAATGGTAAGGTGCTCTTAGCCCACAAAGTCAGCAGCAGGAGATGCGTGTTGACCCAGCAAAAGATAAAGAATCAGGAATCAATGTGTATGAGCTGCTTAGAGCTGCTATGACAAACTGTCATGTGCCAGATGGCTAATGACAACAAAATTTGGGTTCTGATTTGTAAATTCACAGTTCTAGACAGAAGTCCAAAGCTAACCGGATATGCATGGGGGTGGTTCTTTCTGGAGGCTCAGCAGAGCAGTCTGCCCATGCTTCACTAAGCTTCTGCTCATTGACAACTATTCTTAACGTGGCTGGACCCAGGCTGCACCCCTAATTTCTACCTCTACCTTCACACGGTCACCTTCCCTCTGTGTGGGGCTTGGAGCTGTCTATCCCGTGCTTTCTACAAAGAGACCGGCCAGATTGCATCTAAAGCACATACTTTAACTCAGGGTCGCCTCATCTTGACTAAGTGCATCTGCAAAGATGCTATCTGGAAGTGAGGAGGCATGCTGAGGCTGGGTGAACATGAGTTTGGGAAGGATGCATGCAACCCTGGGCGTGATATTAAACATGCTGCTATTCTATGTGATCTAGAAAAACGAATGCACATCCACTCTGCACGGTGCTCAGTCCTGTCTGTTTCATCCATGCCTGCTACACGCAGGGTTCCCAGTCTACGTCAGCTGAATAATGAATGAAAGAGCCTTTGATGTAGGACCACAGGCTTTCCTTGGAGTGCAGCTCCCCTGCGCACTGGCAGCCCTTTCATAAACCCCACCTGGTATCTGTAGGGTCGTTTCCTCTAGCACAAAATAATGCTAGAGGGAGGTTTAAAAACAAAAAGGTGCTTGCAAAGTAATCTGAGCAAAGAAACCCTGATGTTTGCAGTGTTCTCTAATGCTCCCAGCAGCCTCATCCACATTTAATTAAACAGTCATTATTTTTAATGTACTAAACTTTCTTCGGTGGCTTTCCAAAGTCCCCAAGCTGGTTTTAGACTACTATCTTTCATATCCACATATCTGTATTTATTTATTTACATGTATATATATATATATCCACACACTTATATGAAAGTATATATAAAAGATTATATACATATATATGTATATCTACATAGAAGCTGACTATAAGTATATGTGTATATAATCAGCTTCTATGTAAGCTGAGATGGTTAATTAATTTCTTGTGCCAACTTGATTAGGTTGAAGGATGCCCAGACAACTGGTAAGACTTCTTTTTGGATATGTGTATAAAGGTGATGCGAATCAGTAGTGTAAAAATCCTATCCTCACTGACGGAAGTATCTTCCAGTCCTCTTCAGGCCTGGATAGGACAAACAGGCGAAGCGAGTGTGAATTCTCCTTCTAGTTCTGTGCTGCAACACCCAGACATCAGCCATCTGACCTAGCATCCTTCCATACTTTAACACACATGTTTGCATGAAAGCTGTACCAGCCATCTGCTCAAAATGCTCAAGGCTGAGGTCTTTCCACCCCTTCAGTAATAACTGCAGCCCTGGCACTCATGGGTACACCTCTCTTTACAGGCTTTTCATTGAGCCCACAAATCAGTCATATTCCAGTGCCCTGGCCCTACTGATTTAGTTAAGTTTTCCTGATGCTGCGACCAAGTACCCAATGGAAACAGCCTTCAGAAAGGAAGGATTAGCTTGCTCAAGGCACAGGAAGGACTCAGAGGAGCAGCACACATCATGGAGACCATGAATGAGAGAGAGAGAGAGAGAGAGACAATGTAGGTGTCAGCTGGTTTTCTCCTTTCTCCCATTATTCTGTGGGGGTCTCCATCCCATGAGACAGTGCTTCCTGTCAGGTAATTCTCTCTAAACACCCTCATAGACATGCCAAGAGGCGAACCTCACCAATCTCCTAGGTGACTCTACATCTGATCAGTTTGACAATGGGTCTTGACCATCACCATTACTGATCACAGGCGTCATCACTTCCCTTATGGCTATTTACAGCATGAGCGCCATTTACTTCATACATTTAGGACAGTCCAAATGCTTAAGCTTTTTTGGCATCAATGAAATAACCTCATAATTGACGGCCTATCCACTCATTATGGTCTATATGAATTTACTTATCCCCTCCTCTTAGAGCAAGGCCTATTCAGCAAGACTCACTAAATGAGGTGCCATCTAGCTGGAGAGGAAAACTCAGGTTCTCTGGATCCATGCCACTTGTGGGGAACAGGGCCTAGCTCCTGAGGAATTCCTATCAGATGACATGGAGTCAACAACCTTGCCTGAAGGGTTCTGTAAGAGTCATAAAAAACTGTCACACACGTGTGAGTAATGCAGGCTCATGTGGAGGCCAGAGGACAACCTTGGATGTTGCTCCTCAACTGATATCCTAATTATCTGAGATGGGGTCTTTCATGGCCTGGGACTCTTCAAGTAGACTAGGCTGGCTGGCCAGGGAGCCCCAGGAATCTGCTTGTCTCTGTCTCCCCAACACTGGAACACACATGTGCCACCATACTTGGCTTTTTTTGTGGGTTCTGGGGATAAACTCTGGTCCTCATGCTGGCAGGTAAGCCCTTTACTGACTGCACAATCTCCCCAATGCCATGACAAGAATTAGCAATGGCCTCTACCAGAGAGGGGTGGCCCACGAAGTCACAGGTTGCCAGCAGTGTCCAGGACTTCCACTATAAGTAGACAGAGGTCAAAAGGGTCTAGAAGTGGAATCGTGCGTTCAGTACAAGCGAAGGATGCTAAAAGGCATCAGGATACGAACTTTTTATCAGCCACTATGTATTGTCAACTAGTAAGAGATGAAATGCAGGGGATGGGAGACATGACTCAGCAGTTAAAATGCTTCCTGATCTTCCAGAGGACCAAAGTTCAGTTCTTCTGGCTGGCCCCATCTGTAACTCCAGCCCCAGGGATCCAATATCTCCTTCTGGCTTCCACCAGCACTGAATTCAAGTCACATACGCTTACATAGACACACACATACACTCACACAGACACACACAAACATGTTTTTAAAAATCCTTTCAAATAAAATAGATAAAGGAAGTATGCTGGAAAGTTTTATGTAAACTTGGCATAAGCTAAAGTCATCTGAAAAGGAGGAAACCTCCAATTAAGAAAATACTTCCATAATATCCAGCTGTAGGGCATTTTCTTAAATAGTGATTGATGGGGGAGGGCCCAGCCCATTGTGGGTGGTGCCATCCTTGGGCTCCTAGTCCTGGGTTCTAGAAAAAAGCAGGCTGAGCAAGCCATGGGAGCAAGCCAGTAAGCAGCACCCCTCCATTGCCTCTGCATTAGCTCCTGCCTCCAAGTTCCTGTCCCACTTGAGTTCCTGTGAGGATGAACTGTGATTTGGAAGTGTAACCTGCTTTTGGTCATGACATTTCATTGCAGCAATAGAAACCCTAACTACAACAGAAAACACAATATATACTCTAGTGTCTGGAGGCCATGTATATAACTATTCCACTACAGACAAGGCATATTCGCATGCCTAACTGAGTTCCAATGAAACTAAAGAAGAAAACGGGAGAGGATGAGGCACCTGGGCTGTACCTTCTTGCTACTTTCTGTGACCTTCTTCTTACAATACACAGATTTAACAGTCGTACAGAACAAGTACATTTTTAATCTCACCCTCCGTAGCACAGTGACTCACTGTGATTTAGCTGGTCATGATAATCCTTAATGAGTACGCGGTGTTTATAGACCCTGAGAGACTTAGTCAAAGTCATCAGTCAAACAACCTCCCCCCTCCGTCCTACAATTAAGATACTCACCCAGAGAAATCTGTAGTGAGAATTCCGTAGTGGAAGATGTATATCCGGCTGATGTGGCATAATGTAAGGTAGCCCATCGCTACCAAAAAGGAATACCTGAAACCGAAAACACGGGGTTAATGTGTGCGACAGTAAGGTGATGATAAATGCTCTCCTTGTCCTCTCTCTCACCTTCTGCAAATGACTGGTCACAAACTCTTGAACGTCCCAGCTATATCCTAGCCCATTCCCTCTCCCCTTTCCATCCACTCCTCTGGGGCCTTCGTCTTTTCTTACCCAGGCTACAGCTTTGACAGCAAAAAAAGACAAGCTGGAAACTTGACAAATGGCAAACCCCTGGGTTCTTCCTCCAGCTAGTCTGGTTTAACTGTTACCAGGTATGCCTGAGCACGTTCTCGGACTCATTACATTTATGTGATGAACGCCATCAGATACGTATGACCACCATAATCAGAGACCACTCCCCCAGGGTTCTGTTCGGGACTCTCCCTACCCACACCCCAGGCATCCATTACCACTTCCTCATGAGCACTTCCCCGTGTTTGTCAGTGAGCTGCCACAGATGATACGACATATGAACTAGCAAGACATACAGATGTGTCCTTATCGTTCACTTATTGACTTCTAATTTTAAATACAATAATCTGTGCGATGGAAAAAAAATGCATACCCCCAAGTGTGTGTGTCAAAACCCTAACTTCCGGTGTGATGGTACCAGATGCTGAGGCCTTCAGGGGATGATTACATCATAAGGGCAGAGTCCTAGTGGCTGAGATCAGCATCTTTACAAAAGAAGCCTTTGTGGTAGGGCATAACTGTAAATCCCAGCACATGAGAGGTTGAGACAGGAAGGTTAGAAGTTCAAAGCCACCCTCGGGTACCTAGCAAATCTGAGGCAAACTGGGAAAGTTGGGGGTGGCAGGATATACAGAGAGCTTTCTCATCTAAAAATACAAGAAGACAGACCCTCACCAGAAGCCGACCGGGCTGTCCTGATTCCAGATTCCATCCTCCAGAGACATTACAGACTAATCTCTATCATTTACTAGCCACCTCGCGGGAGTGCTTTGTCGGCAGCCTAAGCAGATTAAGACACTCGGAAGAGCTATTAGTGTCTCCCTTTCCTGACTGTCCACTCCATGAAAGCACAGACGTCCGTGAGTGTTTGTTAGCCAAATCCACCCATTGTGTGTTAAATGTATAAATAAGGATGTAAACAGTACTTTTAAACCCCACTGTCCAGTAAACCCCACTGTCAAGTCACAGTAAAACTCCCAAACACAGTGGGGTGCAAGGGGCACCCCACTCTAAGCTCTCCCTGACCTTTGTAGACACGTCCCCAGCTGTGCTCTGTGGCCCCTGAGTGCCCATGGTCCACAACTGGATCTTGTGTTTTCAGATCAGATGCCTTTCAGCATATCCCTCCTTTCGCTTGTCACTCCTTTCTCCATCCGACAGCTTATCTGGAAACTGCCCAATTCTCAAGCAAGCCTCAGCTCCGATGTCACCTCTTACTCTAATCACTTGTCTTGGCCTTGCTCAGACCTCCTCCGTGGTTGATCTCGGTTGTCAACCTGACTGGATTTAGAACTGCTGAGAAAACACACCTTTGGACGTATTTGCGAGCGCATTTCCAGAGAGGATTAGCCGAAGGAAAAGGATTCCCCGCTCAGTGCCTGTGGCAATCCCAACAGGTACACAGATATAAAGAACTCAGTTTGTGTACAGTTCCTTCTTCCTTTCTTTTCTTTAAAGATTTTTTTGTTTTCTTTCATATGTATGAGTGTTTTCTTTACATGTATGTCTGTGCACCAAGTATGTGCAGAGGCCAAAAGATGGCATCAGAGTCTCTGGAACTGGCATTGAAGGCAATTTTGAGCCAATAATTGGGTGCCGGGAATTGAACCTGGGTTCTCTGGAAAAGCACCCAGTGCTCTTTTTTCTTTCTCTCTCTCTTTTTTTTTTCTTTTCTTTTTTTTTTTTTAACTTTTGAGACCTTTCTCATTTGAATGTAATCTTAAAGGTATTAATTTCACAAATAAGCTATTTTTTACTACCCAGTCCTAATTGTCTAAAAACACACATCGAAAACATACAAATATCTATTCTCTCTGCATGTCAGTTCCCGTGCGTCACGGTTTTGGAAATGGGGAGAATAGATTCCGCTTAAACTGCAACTCAGTAGGTGTTTCTGTACAGTTAACTTTAGCAAAATCCATACAAAATGATGGTGAACAATGATTTCTTTAATCGTAACTCACACCTTCGAAACTGTAGTTGCTAAAGTTTCTGTACTAAAATGGAGGAAAAATGAACTACACAAATATTGAAAAATCAAAAAATCCTTACTTTTTTTATTCCTGGTACCACTACCACAATTTACAGGACAACATACCTGATATAACGAAAAGAAAAAGCTGCGCTAGAGAAAAGACCTCAGGAATGTACATCTAATTGACACTACATTGCATTACTCAATAGCTGCGCTTTTTGCAAACTGTAGCTATGACATACTGAACAGGAAGGTCTTCCTGTTTAAGCTGCAGTAACTTTTCTGACTATGGGTCATCGTTCCTCCCATGGCAGATTTTTACAGTTCCTCTGATGTACTCTGGAAGACTGACTGTCTCAAAGTAACCTGCAGCTTTCCTGACAACTCCTCGCTCTCTCTCCTGCTAAGAACTGCAGCCTTTTCTGATATGGTAGCCTTTCTGCTACCAAATCCACCACTTCTGCCACCAGTTCCACAGCCACCGCCATAGTGACTTTCTGAACTTCTTCCAACAAAACTGGCCCCCTTCATGGGCCCATAATTTGATTGCTGTTGTCCACTATAATTTCCAAAGTCATTATCATTCCCACCACCACCATAGTTACCTCCACCAAAATTTCCTCCTTCATTGTAAGCATCACATCCTCATACTCCTCCACCGTAACCGCCATCTTGATTTCCATATCCTGCTCCAGCACCACCATAGCCTCCTCTGCTGCTGTAATCAGGGCCACCATCACAGTTTCCATCATCACCTCCAAATCCATTATATCCATCATCACCACCTCCATAACTACCTCTGCTGCCACCACCTCCACCACCATAGCCTCCTCTTCCACCAACGTTTCCACCATGATCAAAGTTACCTCCACCACCTCCAAGGTCTCCGCCATGACCATAAAGTTGCCAGATCCACCTCCACACCCTCTCTGTGATCCGGCAGACTGCATCTCTTGTTTAGAAAGGGCCCTCTCCACTTCACAATTATGGCCATTAATAGTGTGGTGTTTCTGGACAGCAATTTTATGATCATCAAAAGTTACAAAAGCAAATCCTCTCTTTTCTCCACTCTGCCTGTCTTCCATAACTTCTATGGTTTCAATCTTGCCATGTGCTTCAAAGTAGTCTCTCAAATTATATTCTTTTGTATCTTCTTTAATACCACAAAAAAAAAAAAAAAAAAAAAAAACCTTTCATCACCTAAAATGGGCACCAGGCTTCACAGAATCCTCTCTAGGAACGGCTGGCTCTCTTTGGTTCCACCACACACCCATCCACCTTGTGTCTCCGGCACACATCGCACATCCACCTCTTCAACATAAGAGTAGGTCACAAGACCAGAACCCCTGGAACATTTTGTTTGGGAATTTCTCATTACCGTACAGTCTGTAAAGGTGCCCCATTTCTCAAAATGTTCTCTTAAGCCATCATCCGTGGTTTCAAAGCTCAAAGCACCAATAAACAGCTTCCTTAGCTGTTCTGGTTCCTTTGGATCACGTCAGGCTGGGGCCGAATAGTCAGTGGCTTTACCTCCTTTTTGAGACCGTACTTGCCTTCTTCCAATTCAAGTCTGCGCGTAGTGTTCTTAACTGCTGAGCCATCTCTCCAGTTCTAGCTGCTTATTTCTGAGCATGTGTGGCTGTTAGGAGACTCAAGCTTCTTCAGCCTTCCATTGTGGGCTCAGTATCCAAGGAGCTCTAGGCTTTAGTGCCAGAGTATGACCTCTGTGATGCCTAAATTCCTAGGCTAAGTTCTCTGCCTTTCCAGCAGAGAGCTGCTGTTGTACTATTCAGCCTCCATCATGTAAGGCAATCTAGTAAAACCCCTTTGTTACATGCATATGTCTCTCTGTGTCTCTGTTTCTGTCTTTATCTCTGTCTCTATCTCTGTCTATTGGTCTGTGTTTGTGTCTATGTGTGTGTATTTACACAGGGTTTCACTATGTAATTTTGTAGCTGTGGTTGGCCTGGAACTCACAGAGTTCCACTTGCCTCTGCTCTGCCTTGCAAGTGCTGGGACTAAAGGGTACCATCATGTGTGGATATGTATACATATTCTATTGGTCTTGCTGCTCTAGAATGCCCTACCTATTACACCAACCCTCTTTCCCAAGCCCAGCGTAACTGCTCACTGCTCAGCTGCTTGAATTCTTCAAGTACAGAACATTAATAAATTAAAATTATCCACATGGACATCTGTTTCCCCAACTCACAGGAACCTTCATCATCCCAGCCCTCAGCCTGACACAAGGATTGGAGATAGGGAGGGCATCAGTGCCTATTAGTCGAAATAAATATACTTAACATTTTAAGTGTCTCAGGAACCCAACAGAGAGAAACATAAATCTAAAAGCTATAACCTCTAACATATGTCATAAGCCAGGGAAGATGAGTGTTCTGACACTACATTGTACTGAAACCCACGTGTTCACGTTAAAATAACTCAGGAATTCTAGGCCAACCCAGGGAGTAGTAAAGACGATATCCAGATAGTGAGCGAAAGGAGTTCTATCCAGCATTGCACAACGTTAGGTTCTTCTTAATCTTAGTTATAGAGGATGACGTTACAGCTGAAGGGCCGAAGTTGGGCATTTGCCTACTGTGCACAAAAACTGAGCCTGCTACTCAGCATCACTAAAAAGAAGAAAGGAAAACAGTAAGAGGAAAATAGCGATAAGCAAAAGTTCTAAAATAAAAAATACTCCACAATGATAAATAAATAAATAAAAATGAGTGTCATGTGGACCCTCAGAAACATTCAAATTGGGAAATATTTCCAATCCTAAGGTTTCAGATTTAGATATTCAGACCATTGAGGTCTATGCTCATGTTTCAAAATCGTAAAGCCTTCAAAACTGAAAACATTTCTTTCCAAAACCCGTTAGATAAAGAATAATTGTCCTATTCCATACAAAAAGGCTTCCCTTGGTTTGGATCCATCCTAAATCCCTTCTAACCACAAAGCCAATGACCAAGAGCAAATGCCCCGAGGAGTTAGAGCAGTATGAGAGGGAAGAAGCCCATTACCTCTGGCTTCCATTCCCTTTCCCCAGAAAGTTCATGAATTCAAGACAGAAGTACAAAGCAGATTCAACAGACAGTGGATTCTTCTAAAACCAGGTCAACTATACCCACACCTGTTTCTGCTCTGGCTTACAAGGTAAACAGATTTGATTCGGTGGTTGTAATTAAACCACAGCTGTGATAACAAGGATATGTACTGAATCCTAATACAACTGGGCAAGGTATTCTTGCCCTGTCTGGACCTATTACTATGTGGTAAAGAAAACATATATTGTTCACACAAAATAATAAGAGTGCAAACCCTAGCACTTATCAAAAGTAGTCTCTGGTATGAGAAATTGGCAGGGTGACTATTTCTGGAAATAAGAGTGTGGCATAGATTGGGGCAGGACAGATAGTAGTGTTCTCTTATTACCTAGTTAAGTGTCTTCTATTTATAAAAGAAAAAAAATCATCAGCCTGCACTTCATTTCCTCAATTCAGATATTAAAATAATATCTATATCCTACACACTTGTTTTAGAAGGACTGTGTTAGCAAAAAAATGAAATCAAACCTCAACTGATATATTACCACTATGTACTGAGAATAATGCAGCGCGTTGACAAGAGCTTAGCCTAGAATGTAGCACAAAGCAAGGGCTCCAGAATCAATTAACGACACCACCAGTTGTCATACAAGGCTTCCAGCCTGGAAGATACAAACTAGATCTGCTTCATTTAGTCCCTGACACCTGTGCTTCCTCCCTAACACCGTGACTTGGGATGGAAACAGAGGGTCCCAAAATGCCCTGAGTAACAGGTAAGCCAGAAGTGGGTTCATTGCAGACGGTAGCCAACACTACCTCTCCGTGTCTCTTCTCAACCACGAGACAGAACTCTCAGTGCTGGCCATGAAAAGGAGAACAATACAGATGGGATCCTAAAATCACAGTCTTCAGAATTTGCATTTAAGGGATACTGGGAAGATGGCTCAGTCGGTAAGAAAGCTTGTAGGCAAGCATGAGGATTTGAGTTCAAAACCCAGCACCCATGTAAAAAAAAAAAAGCTAGCCATAGCTGTACTTGCCTGTAACTTTAGCAGTTGGGGTCAGAGACAGACAGACCCTGGAAGCTTGCTAGCTTAGACCAAAAAGTAGTGAGCTTCCAGTTTCAGTGAAAGACAGTGTCTCAAGGCAATGAGGTCTCCAGCAACAGAAGAAGACATCGACATTCTGTTCTGGTCTCTGCATGCATCCATGCATATTCCTGCACGTACCACACAGGCACGGAGACAGAGGGACAGAGAGGTGAGAACAGACAGGTAGAGAGACAGAGACAGATAGAGTTATCCATAACCATCCAGAAATAATCACACTTTCTAAATTAAAAAGAAAAAAAAAAGGACTGTCATTCACACTTTCACAAATGCCACAATTCGTGGGTAGGAGAAAGCTAATACACAGGGAGACTACCCCACCTACCCAGATTTCACATTTTCTAACCCCAGCCTCTTTTGCCTGAGACAACTCAGAGGAAACAACATTTCAGCATGTTGCGGAGTCCCGTGGAGTTCTTCCTTTGGGAAATAGACCACTCCCTACTTCTGCAAACTGGCAACGGTTCAAGCAAACAGAAAGAGGAAGAACGAGTTTGGGCATCTTCCATTTTCCCTCTCACAGCAGAGCTGTCTGCTACCACAGCATTGTTGTGGTGAAAGTCATTCACTCTCTGTGACCCGCTCAGCTCCACCCAGCTTGGAGTGTCCCGTTCCCAGACTCTGGAAGGGAATATGGAAACTTAAGCCTGCCTTGAAACAAGGGCTCATGTAAGTGTTTGACGATCTGAAAACCAGAGGGCACCTCACTGGTGTCGTGCAAGCATGAGGAAGAGCTGACAGATTGTCAAGGGTAGGCAATCGGCAAAGTCCCATCCCTAACCAAGAAGGTATTTGCAGTTGATAACTGGTGGGAGAGAGAAGACTAGTTTTCTTCAATGGATCGACACCAGGTATATAAGCTCTCAGGGTAGGCGGGCTGTGTGCTCATGAATAGTTGGCTGGCACAAAACAGAATCCATGTGGTTTCTTGTTTGGTTTTTGTTTTGTTCCTACTTTGTTCAAGGAAAAAAAAAATGAAGTGAGGAGGGTGGGAGCTGAGCTGTAGGAGGAGCCGGGAAAGGGGGCGAACATAATCAAAATATGCGGCATGAAAATTTTAGAAATGAAATAGTAGTAAAGGAAAAAACAATGTAACAAAACGAAAAGAAGAAAAGGGCATGTAAAATGCTATAAAATGTAACATTGTCACTAATAGTTTAAAACCATGTTTAGGAAAAGGCAAGCAACACACACCCCCTGCAATGTGACTTTTTTTAAAAGGCTCTTATAAGCATCCTTCTCAAATTAGGAAAACTTCCTAAATGAAACTATCTTCTCAGGAAGAGAACAGAGGAGAGATTAGGAATCATATTTCCACAGCTTATTTGAATACAAAGTTGGAAGACTATGAAGTTTAAAAGCATGTAAAAAAAAAAAAAAAAAAAAAAAGACTTTCCTCCCAAAATGAAAATTTTATTGCAACTGCAAAGTTATATATATATATATATATATATTGAAAAGTTACACTTCAGTGTTTTTAACAAGAATGGTGATGCCCTCACTAATCAAAGGGCTTCCTGAAGCCAGAAGGGAAGCTTTTCAGAGAAGCCATAAACAAAGAAATGATAAGCACAAGATTTGTTTTGTTTTGTGACATACTCTCTCTGCATAGCCCTGGCTGTCCTGGGACTCATTAAATAAACCAGGCTGGCCTCAAACCCACAGAGATCTTCCTGATTCTGCCTCCCCAGTACTGGGATTAAAGGTGTGTTCTACCAAGTCTAACCTGCAAGTATCTTTCCAAAGTACCCCATCTATTTCTTTCCATAAATATTTACTGAGCCTTCACTCTTGTCTGTGCCAAGAATCTTTCTAAATGCTGAAAATGCAACGTAAGCAAAAGATAAAAGTCTTTATGTTTACAAAATACACTGGAGGCTGAAGCAATGCCTCAGCAATTCAGATCCGTTGGTGCTCTGACAGGTAATTTCTGGAATCTATACAGAGGGGCTTATAACCTCCTGTATCTAGTTCCAAGAGATCCAGTGTCCTCCTCAGGTTCCTGTACACATGTGAGGCACATAAATTCACACAGGCACATGTATACATAAAAATAAAAATAAATCCTTAAAGATCTCTTTGTTTTTAATTGTGTGTGATTGTGTCTGAGTATGTGCACATGAACGCAGGTGCCCGTGGAGGCCAGCAGAGGGAGCTGGGCTATCTGAAGCCAGAGGTCCAGGCAGTCGTGAACACCATGCACAGATAATAGGATAAACTTGGATCCTCTGAAAGAGCAGTGCGTATTCTCAACCAATGAGCATTCTCTCCAGCTCTCCAAATAAATTTTTAAATAAAAGGAACTTGAAACAAAGTCACAAAAGCCAGAGGCCACAAAAAGCACAATCAACACTGACTTTTCAGACAGCCACACCACACACACACACACACACATACACACACACACACACACACACACACACACACACACCTGCTGATCGTGTGGTCATACAGACTTCAAGGAAGTGTTAAAACTCCTTCGGTGCCATAAAAGCAAACAACACAGAAAAACTTAGTCCTTTCTTGTGGATTAGTTTTCTTAAATAGTATACATTTACATATTCAAAGTATAAAATTAGTACGTTTTTATATATGCAAACACTCAGAAAATTGCACCCAACCCTTAGACTGGACTTTGCCTCACCGCTGCACATGCTTCTTTTCCTAACCCTTGCTCAGTCTCCAGGCACCACCCCCACCAGTCACTTCTGGTTCTCTTGCCGTCACAGATTAGCTTACATTTTTTAAAAACATCATCTGGGTGGCTTCCTTCCTTCAACACACTTAACAATGTAAACACATCGTTCTGTATCTCTGTATTCCTTTCTACCGCTGCATGGTATTCTAACGTGGTGATTAACCTGTGCCCGGCTTGAGGCTGCCTGATAAAGATAAACCATTTTTCAACTCAGTCCCACTTGGTATTTTTTTCTTCATAAAGATTTTAAAAACTTTTTTCTGCTTCCTTTTTCCTGAAGATCCCCGTCCTCTCCATTCTCTGTCGTCCTGGAGACACTCAGACGTTTCACTTATGGGGAACAAGCAAGACACGTTTCCTCCAGAAGATCACAAAATTGCACACTGCTCAACCGCAGGATCTTACCTGTGAATGCTGGAGACACTTGCAGTGACCATGACCCCATAACCCATCAACACCATCACAAAGAGATGTACAGAATACCTTTAAGATATAAGAAAAGGGGAGGGAAGATGCTGAAAACATACCAACCCACCCACTGGATACCCACCCCACCCCCACCCCCGTTCCAAAAAGCAATCGACCAGTGAACTCATAAGAGAACATAAGTTAAATTATTGTTCTATGGAATCGAAACACTATATTTCAAAAAAAGACACCAGGAAACTTGGACACAGTTTGCAGTTAAAGCCCTAGGAATGTCCAGAATCATTAAGTGGGAAAGTTTGCAGCTGCTTTCTACCCATATAAAATTAAAAGGCCAAAGAGAATTCTTTTAGGTGGACTTTATGTTTTTAAGTCTCAAAGCTATTATGGTAAGTTTCAAAGTACCAGCACCAAAATCAAATTCCCGACATACAAGGGCTTTTTCACATGGTGGCTGATTCGAAAATATGCATCTTCTCCCAATGGTTTGTGGAAAAATTAGAACAGTATTCTGGTACCTTCCCCAAGCTCACAAATTTCCTTTAAGAGTCATTTCTAGAAATTTTAGTGTCTAAAGCGTATGGCCTAAGAAGTGCCACTCCCTAGGTGTTTGCAGTCTTGGAGGCTTAGCAGGTGTCTACACAAAGCTAAATCTGCCATCTATTAGACAATGCGTCATCTCCCTAATACCTGCCCTGAAACCTTTGGACTGACACCAAGTCTCCAACAGCAAGACTAGAGACACACCAACATCTGCAAAGATTAGGGAGGGCCCTCTGTTAGGAAGACTTAAACCTCACAGCATTCCATCTATATGATTCAAGGAGGTTTGTAGAGATGTCATCTTAAGAAAACAAACAACAACAAAACAGACAGCACTTTCAATGGTTAACCCCTTTGTTGGTTCCAGTCTATCACATGAGTGAAGGCTCACACAACCCCATTACTTTACAGTAGGATTCCTACAACATTCACAATCTCACCAACCTCTTCAATACAGTAGGTATTTTACAATGCCGTATATTTCTTACCAAGAAACACATCATCACAAAACATCCAGTCAATAAACATGAGGATTTAATGAGGCTCATACTCACCAGCCAAAACAAAACATAACAAAATAAATGCCCAAAATGGTGGCCAACATGTGCCGGACCTCGGGGTTGGCTTTACCAGGGTGTAGGTAGATTCTGAACCAGAAAGCAGTGGACAAGGCGAAAAGCTGGCAAGCCACAAAGTTAACCTATGGACAAGAGAATAAAGACGTTTTCAGGGTTTTGCTTGTGTATAAATCTACCTCTGGTTTTTCGGGTGTCTGTACCAAGACGCATCTGAAACTTAGATATCCCCCCCCCCCCAGGTGAGTGTTTGTTTGGGAGAGGGATGAGACACAGAAAAAGAGTGCTGCCCTTACATGGTATAATAAGCCTAAGGCTGGAGCAGCTCCCAGCACACACTGGTTGAGAGATGGAGGCTCTTTGTCGTCAGAAAGCCCATTTCCAAGGGATCGGATACCCTCTTCTGGCCTCCTTGAGTACCAAACGTACATCAGGTATACAAACATATATGCCGACAAAACATTCACACATAAAGAAAGAGAGAAAGAAAGAATAAACCGGAGTCCCTTCTCCAGCCCCTTGAAACTTTCAAATGCTCTCCTTCCCACAGCATGAAATTTTAGTGTTTAAGGCAGTGGCTCTCAACCTTCCTAATGCTGCTACCCTTTGATACAGTTCCTCATGCTGCAATGACTCCCATCCACAAAATTATTTCATTTCTACTTCATGGCTATAATTTTTCTACTCTGATGAATCATAGTATAAATATCTGATATGCTGAATATCTGATAGGCGATCCCCTGCAGAGGTCTCAACCCAGAGGTTGAGAACCACTGGTTGAAGGAGATGGGAAGTCTGCTGACTGGGTTTCTTTTCCTGCACATCTCTAAAAGGAAGCCTGTATTGTCCTATATGCCCTTGTGCTGGACTTTAAAGGTAAAGCGCCCCCTGTAGGCTGATGTGCTGGAACATTTGATTCCACAGCTGATGATGCTATTATCCTGAAGGTTGTTGTATCTTTAGGAGGTGGAGTCTCACTGGAGGAAGTATATCATGAGAGGGGGTAAGCCCCACTTCCTATCTGCCCTCTGCTTCCTGACTATGTATATAAGATGACCATTCCTGCCACCACGCTTTTTCTCCTCGGTGGACTGGATCCCCACACACCGTGAGCCAACATACAAGCTCTTCTTCCCTAACTATTTCTTGTCAAGCATCTGGTCACAACAAAGAGAAGAGTTAACTTTATGCTTAAAAAAAAATAACAAAACAAAACTTAAAAATTCAAGTTTTGCCAAGGTGGCTATCAGGAATTTTCTGACCCCACTTTTCTTCCTTTAAATCAGCACCAAATAAGAAAGGGCAGCCATCAAGTTCAAGGTGTGACACTGGAAATCCGTGAGAGACACAACCCACGTTGGAGCTCAGTGTCAAATATAGGCAGCTATACAAGACAGACACCATGCTCTTACAAACAAGTCTCGATGCTCTATCTCTGAAGAACATTTCCTGTAAGGGGTGTGGGCATGGCTTCGTGGTAGGGCAGTCTTGCATGTGTGAGGTCAATCCCCAGCATTAACAAAAGGAGGAAAGTAAGGCAGAGAGGAAGAAGAGGAGCAAGAGAAGGGAAAAAAATGAAACATTAAAAGCTGGGTATGGTGCCTCATCCCTATAACCTCAGTGCTCAGGAGGTCAAAGCAAGAAGATCAGGAGTTCTGGTTGCACATATGAGTTCAAAGACAGCCTGGGCTATATATGCAAGCCAGAGAAAAATACATATAAATATATATAAACAATTCCTCAAAACCCATGGGAAAGATCAGCTAACTTTTTTATAACTTTTAAAATTTCATTTTATGTACATTAGTGTGAAGGTGTCAGATCCCTTGGAATTGGCGGTACAGACAGTTGTGAGCTGCAGTGTGGATGCTGGGAATTGAACCCGGGTCCATTTGGAAGAACAAACAGTGCTCTTAACCACTGAGCCATCCCTCCAGCCTAATCAGCTAACTTTTGAAAGAGAACTAACATCTATCCTTGCAGTTTAAACTTAAGCCAAATCGAATTGTGAACATTGAGTGGTTCAACCACTATCAAAGCTAGAAAAGTAATGTAAATTCTTCAAAGTATTGAGGATGAAGATCAGCACCACTTCACTTTTAGAAAATTAAAAAAAAAAAAAAAAAAAAAAGATGTAAGTCATGAACAGGATTTCATCAGAATATTTCCAAGCCTCAAAGAGAGGCAGCTGTTTTGAGGTTCATTAGCTGTATAGTGGGGAAGAGGAGAGGGAGAAGGTGAGAAAAAGGAAGGGCACCATCTTCACTTGAGTTCATTTCGTTTTCTCCATAAAAAGCCACAGTACTTTAGATCCCTTATTGAAAATTGAGCTTTCAGAAAGTTTTTGTTGATAATGGCTGTATTATGTTTCCTCTCTGTTTAAAAGATTACATCTGGCAGGTTGATGGTGGCACATGCCTTTAATCCCACCATTCGGGAGGCAGAGGCAGGTGGATCTCAGTAGGTTTGAGGCCAGCCTGGTCTACAGTGTGAGTTCCAGGACAGCCAAAGCTACACAGAGAAACCCTGTCTTGGAAAAAAAAAAAGATTATATCTCACCAGATGCACCTGTTCCCAGTAGACACCACCTTTATTTATGACCTTAAAAGAGCCAGAAAAGGAGTTAAGAGCCTACTATGCAAGCTTTGGTCCTCTTTGAATCTAGACTAAAATGAATAGCCAACAACTGGCATGCACATACACAAAATAGAGAGAGATTCTGGTGTCGTCAAGCACTCTTGTAACCTCACAGAGGGGAGGCTGAGGCAGGAGGATGACTAGTTTAAGGCCAGCTTCAGGGTACATACATGGTGAGATCCTGTTAAAAAAAAAACAAAAAGTTTGTGTGTGTGTGTGTGTGTGTGTGTGTGTTACATTCTCTCCTCTCAGCCTAGTGACAGCCACAGAAAGGCATTTTTACTCAGGAAAGTGGCCACAGAGAAATTTGCTCCATTCTTTCTGTTTGGCCAGGAAATGTGGAACATTTGTATAGGAGAAACGACTCAGGCGATACAGCAGAATTCCTTGGAGAATAGTCCTCAGAAAAGTAGCAATGGCAATGCCTGGAAACCAGTAAGAAATGTACCTTCTCTGGCACCTACTGAGTCTGGGCACTTTTTGAGTGGGACCCAGGAACACGTGTTTGTGCCCCCTCCCTTTACCCCATTATAATCCACTTCGAAATTCTGACATGAAGGAGAAAGAAAGTTTTCAATGAGCCAAGTAATCAACAACACAGCCTAGCCAGGCAGAATGGTGTATACTTATAATTCCAGAAGCAGCGTTTTCAATGAGCTGAATTATCAATGACATAATCTCGCCAGGCGGAATGGTGCATACTTATAACTTCAGCACTTGGGAGGCAGAGGCAAGAGGATTATCACAACTTTGAAGCCAGTCTGCGTTGTGTACTGTTTTTTTTAGGCCAGCCAAGCTACACAGCAAGATGCTATCTCAAAAAAACAAACCAAAAGGAAACAAAACAAAAAAAAAAGAACACAGCCTAAGAGTAATTGTAAGGTATTGTCTGAACGGACAAAGATCACTTGCTTGCCCAAACTTCACTGAGGTTCCTGAATCTTCCAGGCCCATCTCTAGTTTTAGCAAGAACCATACCCCATCCTCCATGCCTGATCACCCTTAGCATTTAATCTGGAACCTGCTCTACCATCACCTAGAGTCATCTTTGGACTAAAGAAGCTAACATAGATGACCTCTTGAAACGATGTGCGCACTCGCTGTCTACATTCCGACAGGTAACATGTACTCAAGTTGGGCAAGGAATGTATTCACCCACTAATGTGGGACTGCTTTGAACTGACCTCCCCAGCCTCTTCCTGCCAGCTCTGCACCCAGTCTCTCTCCCACGCAGCATTCATTCACATAGCCCAAGTCACCTTCTTCCTTTCCTTCTGTAGGAAAAGGCAATACACCCCTGGGTTTTCAGCTCTTATGATGCAAACCTACAACAGAGATAAACCTGAAAGTCAAGGCGGTTTCCAGAAAGGAGACTGAAAAGGAGAGAGGTTTTTTATTTTTTTTTTCCCCTTTTCATTCTAAAAACTTGTCTTTATGAAAAGAACTCGGCATATACCAAATCCCCCAAAGATTTAGCCCCACGTCTTAGAGGACACATGGATAAAGACGACGTGTGGGCATGCATTGTGATATCCTTTATTAAATCCTTCATAATTACAAGGTACTCTAGCTGGATAGTTCCTTTTTCCAGTGCTGTGGCCTCCAGAGGCCTGACTGCTGCGGTGTCCAGAGAGAGAGAGAGGCATGCTGGGGGCTGCAGTTCCATTCCTGAATTCTATCAGCGCCTTCCCCACAATTACAGTATTGTGTGGGCCCCCGCTGCTGTTTTGCTGATCAGATTCCAAAACGCGAGCCAGGCTGACATAACTTGGATGCAGCACAGTCTCAATTTCCACAGCCTTTGCAAGATTCCAGAGTCACTTGGAGAAAATCAAGCACACCCTCAAAGCGTGTGCTCTTATTCCGCCAGCCCAGGGTACACTGTGCTGCGATTTTCAAAAGTGGATGGTAAATACAGCCCCCACCCCGACCCCCCACCCCCCACCCCCCACCCTGCTACTCTCACACTCTGCCAGACGAAAGCTGTTATTTGGGGATTTCTGTCTCATGGCCTTCATGGCTTCCAACTGAAAACAAACTGGGTCAGGACCTAAAAATATGGCCTTCCTCCTAACTGAGGAGAGGCAGGCATGCTATTTTTAACAGATAGCAAATATCAACAGTCCAGAATGATTTCCCCTCCTCCAACAGTGTACCAAGGAGGGGCAGACAAGAGGGCAGGCCTGGACCATTTTCCTCAGCAGCACTTCTTTCTATGCACCAACACAAAAAAAAAAACAACAACTTGATTAAATGACCCCTGACTCAAAGGAAAGTCATTCTTCCACTACAAACAGCACAAACAGTACTCTCTTGCCTTGCACTCCCTCCCTGCCTCCAAAAAAAAAAAAAACAGACGGAAACTCAAACTGTGATTCCCTGCTGTTCCATAGAACAAAAAGTGTCTGTCCCACACTTTTTGCTACTTTTCACTTTCAAAGAGATCCTTATTCCCAGCACCTTGGAATGTGAGCAAGACATGTTTTTA